TGCAGGGGCCTCTAGTGGGAGGGAATAGTTGGGAAGGAAGCCTGGAAGGCTGAGTTGAAATGAGGCTTTTCCATGGGGCTCCCCAAGGCATCTCCCCTCCAAGGGTGGCAAGTGGGGCAGTGTGCTTGGGAAGCCTGCACTAGCTCTCATGCTCCGCATGACTATGCTGGGAATGTAGACTCAATCCCAAGGTCTGGCAGTGGGCAGGTAGCTGCCTAGGGAAGCTCTGAGAAGTTCCTAAGGCCCACTACTAAGGGTCCTGGCCTCTGTCCAGCCCCAGAGTGGCCTAGCCTGGTCCTCAACACCCAGAGGCACTATTCCCTCTTATTCAGGGCTCTGTCACCTGTGCTTAGCAGTGAGACATGTGGGTTTAAGATGTTCTTCTTTAGCTAGTATGATATTTGAAACATTTTTAAATTGGTTATTTAAAATCAAGAGAGTTTATATAAAAATCTGTATTTCCAGTCTCTTTGGAAAATGCACAGATCTGGTGGCACCAGGCCCGAATTCCCAAATGGCAGCACCGGAGGAGTTCAGTGGCATCTGTGCCCTTTGGTCCATATACTTGCTCCTTCTCCACAGTCCCCAAATACCCAGCCCATACCTCACTCTCATTGCTTTACCAGGCAGTCACCTCTTCTACTTTGACCTGCAGGGCACAGATGTCCCCCAAGGGCACTGGGATCAGGACCTTCAGTGAACAGTCAGGGGACATCCAGGGGGAATGTCCTTGAGCAGACGGCCTCCAAGAGTAGAGGGAGCTTGCCTGGCATTGTGCCCTCCATGCCTGCCTCCTGCTCACCCACAGGTCCTTTCATTTCGGCTTTCCCACCAACTAAATGTCCTGTATGTCTGCTTTCCTGCTACCTGGCCTGCACCCAGTACACAGGCTCCTCTACCTGGAAGCTTCTTTCTTTCTCAGTCTGTGCACATTTGTTATTAGTCCTTGGGAGGAGCTCAGCAGTCCCCTCCTATGTGAGCTGTCCTAAACATTGCCTTCAGCACAACTACAGTGGTCTTACTGTTCTGGCCGCCATCACAGCTGATGTGAAGATACTTACCCCCTCTTGGTTCCTCACCAGGGCCCACCTCCCTCTCCCTGGTCGGAGCCAATGTGCGGGGTGGAGCAGAAGTCAAATGAACACACAGCCCCTACCCTATCATTGTGCTCAGCCTCACTCCCTCAGCTCACAGGTGACTGAAGCCACAGTCAGAGGAAAGAGACACTGAGAAAAACAATTCTAAAACTCTCTCTAGAGAGCCACAGATCTTGGGTAATTCCATCCAGCCTCTGCTTGATGCCAACCATTCCTGAGCTCCTGTCTCCTGTCCTCAAGACATCTGTTGTCTTTCTGTCCATCCCGTCCTCCACACTTCCATTCTCTCACACTTAGGCCCCAGCCCTGTCTAGGTATTAGAGAGCCCCAAAGCTGCCCAGAGGGCTAGAAACATGTAAATCCCACCAGAACCTTCTCTGATGGAAACCCTTTGCTGCCTCCTGACTGCCCCTACCTAGCCCCTAGGAAAAAGTCCAAACTTGGTCCCTGCCCGTCCTCCACCAGCCTTTGGGTACAAAGCCTGGACCAGACAGAGAGCAGGTGCCTCAGAGCCAGCCCCACTGTTCATGGGTACCTGAGTCTCTGAAGGCCCCTCCCAACCTCAGCAACAAGCAATGCCTTCTCCAGGAAGCCCCTTGAGCACTTTCCCCACACCCCATAAACAGCTGTGAGAGCTAGGAAAGGGAGGCCCCTGGGGCCCTGAGTTGGAAGGGGGGAATTGGCCTGCAATCAAATCAGAGGCCTAAAGGCAGACATGGGTGTGGCCTGATGAGGACCCAGGGGTTGTAGAGTGGGCATGAGGGAGGATGCTTGAAGAGACTGGAAGAACAGCAGCACCCTGCCCTGGAAAATACCAATGGGTCATGATGAGCATTGACCCTATATGTCCCTCAGGAATTCTGGGGAACAGGAGCCTCTCCCAAGGCCCTCCAAGTGCTGAGCCTGGCTGGATGACTGGGTTAGGGCTGGGGGAGGGGACACAGGCAGAAGATGATGGTTAAAACCAAAGGCCATAAAGACAAAGATTCCATCTGCATTGGGCTAGGTGCATATCCTGGCTGAGTCCTCAAGGAGCAGAGTGTCCCCTTTTCTGGGCCTCAGTTTGTCTGTCTATAAAATAGGATAATCACACCTGTTTTTATTAATAATAATAGTCCTTGAGTTACTCAGCTATATGAGAATTAAATATATTGATATATGTGAAATGTTTAGCATACACTTGGTCCCACAAGTACCATGTGTTACCTATTTCAGCACTTTCCTCATACACACTCATATGCACACACATGACCCCCCACATGCATGTATAAACACACATAGCCCAAGTACACACAGACTTTTTTCTAAAGCTTGGATGGCATTATTAGGTGCATTCCACATGAGCATGGTTTCTAGAAGGGTATGTTTTCATCCTCTGGGTTCTGTGTGCTTTGTCTTTGGGTCCTGCAGGGTGAGGAGGGACATTTACTGAGCCCTGTTCTATGCCAGGCACTGTATTATAAATTGATATATCTTATTTCAAAATAACCAATGTGTGTGGGGTGACAATTAGGCTTCCTGAGTCCTGCCACCGCTTAGTGCCAGGGGAAGAATTGAGAGTCTTACCCTCTGACTCACCATACAGGTCTTGGGAAGCCACTTGCCTGGGCTATGTCCCTTAGGTACCATATGCTTCTGGTATACTCCTTAACCTGCCCTACAGGGGAGTTCTCTGCATCATGGATCTGGAAGCTATTGGGCACTCCAGAGTCCTCTTAGAGCTTAAGGCTGGGAGAAGGCTGTTTTTCCTGTTATTCTCACTGCAAGATAGAAAGCTTTATGGGTCTCAGCTCCTTCTACTCTTTGCCTTGGCTGCCAGGGACCTCTTAACCCAGCTGTATATATAGTTCTTACAGGTTTTCTCAGTCAGAAATTCCTCTTTTGCTCTATCTCTCTATCCCTCATTTGCTTTCTTGTCCTGTATTAAATGTTTTGGATCTTTTACTATCTGATTTTTTGCAAATCTTATTAAAATATGGTGCACATAAAAGTATCACAGTCAAGCATACAGTTTAATGATTTTTCTCAAAGTACACACAACCAGAGAAGCAGTGTGCATCACCAGCACCCAGAGCCTGTCAGGCCCCATCTAGTCGCTGACCCACTGAGCTAGCCATGTTCTGACCTAGTTTTGCACTTTACATAAATAGAGTAGTGAAATTTTGTGCTGGGTCTGGCTTTTTCATTTTTGTAATGTATTGTTTCAAATTTTTACTTACTGATTTTAGAGATGCGGGAGAGAGAGGTCAAGCTTTTTTAAAATTCTTTTTCCAAAATCCTCACTCGAGGATATATTTATTGATTTTAGAGAGAGAGGAAGGGAGAGAGTAAGAGAGAGAAACATTGATCAGTTGCCTCCTGTACGTGGCCTGATTGGGAATCAAACCCATGTCCTTTTGGTGTATAGGGCAGCACTCCAACCAACTGAGCCACCCAGCTAAGGCAATGTGTTTGGTTTTTCATAAATTTTAAAAGTTTTTGGTACATAGAGCTAATGTAAAATTTACCATCTTAACCAATTTTAAGTGTACAACTTAGTGGAATTAAGTATATTCATAATGTGTAACCATCACCATCATTCATCTCCAGACTTCTTTTCATCTTGTAAAACTGAAACGATGTCCCTAATAAATAATAACTCCCCATCACCCATCCTGCAGCCCCTGGCAACCACCCTTCTACTTTCCAATTGTTTGATTATTCTAGTACCTTTTATGAGTGGAATCATGCAGTATTTGTCATTTTGTGACTAACTTAACTTACTATAATGTCCTCAAGGATCATTCATGTTGTAGCATGTGCCAGAATTTTGTTCCTTTATAAGGCCGAATAATATTCCATTGTAAGTACATACCACATTTTGTTTATCTATTCATCTGTTGATAGACACTTGGATTGCTTCCACTTTTGGCTATTTTGAATGATACCACTGTGAACATGGTTGTATAAATATATGTTCAAGTCTACTGTCAGTTATTTTGGGTATATGTGTACACCTAGAAGTGGAATTGCTGGGTCATATAGTAATTCTGTTTTAAAGTTTTTGAGGAAACTCCATATTGTTTTGCACAATAGCTATACCATTTTATATTCTCACTAACAGTGCACAGGTTTGCAATTTCTCCACATCCTTGCTAACATTATTATTTTGTTTTGTTTTCATTTTTATATTTTTAATAGTTCATCTTTATTGTACTTTTTCATTATCATTTGTTCCCCATCCCCTCTTCCACCTTGTTATTTTGTGTCTTTTTTTTTTTAAATAGCAGCCATCCTAATGAGTGTGAAGCGGTATCTCATGGTGGTTTTGATTTGCATTTCCTTGATGATCGGCAATGTCAAGTCATGATTGCGTTTCCATGTGAACACATCGTGCACCTTGTCGCATGAGCTCTGCCCCACCTGTTCTGTTGATATCTGTGTTAGGGCCATGTGAGCATACCCTGACGTATCTGCTCATTCTGTTGCTGATAGGCATTGGGTACTTACCCATTTGGAGAGATTGCAAGGAGTGCTGCTAAGAACATTCTAGAGCAGGTCTTTTCGTGGACATAGACTTGAGTTTTTAAATCATTGGCCTCTCCTCTTTGGAGGTTAGTATTGCATGAATAAACTAATCAATAAAATGTGTAATACATGTTCCCTGCGGGCCCTTTTAAGGTTCCTCAGGCTTGCATAAGCTCCACAAGACAAAACAGGACACCTGTCCATAGTGCCCTTTTGCTCCCTATCTCAGGTGGCCTGGCATCCAGCTGCCTAGCACGTGCCTTCACAGTTTCTAATCTCCCTCAAGAGCAGCCACCTTTGGCCCTGACACCACCCTTGCCCTCTGTTGTCCCAAGACCCCACTCTCACCACTAAGCTGGATAGCTGAGGGTGTGACCAGGTCCTCTCTGTGCCCAGGGGTCTTTGGGCAGCACCTGGAGGACACAGTCCACCTTGAGCAGAAGTATGGACCCCGTCTGGCTCCTATGCTGGTGGAACAGTGTGTGGACTTCATCCGGGAGCATGGGCTTACTGAGGAGGGGCTCTTCCGCATGCCAGGCCAGGCCAACCTGGTGAGGGACCTGCAGGACTCCTTTGACTGTGGGGAGAAGCCACTGTTTGACAGGTGAGCCCCTGGGGGAGGGATGAAGATGGGGCCACCTGCCCATTATCCCTCTGCTGGGCCTTCTCCCAGGACATCAGCTCCAGAGTCAGGCTTGCATGGGTGCCCAGGAAGCCTGGCAGCAGGACTATGGGGAGAATGGTTCCTCACATTGCTGCATATGTGCTGAAACAGACCTCCCCAATGGACAGAGTGCAGAGCCCCACATCCCTGCATTTCCCCTAGACCCCCTTTCAGGGACAGTCCTGCCACAGAGGAGGTTGCTCACTTCCAGGCAGGCTTTTTTCCACTGCAGGTGCCCCTAAACCCAACTCAGGCAGGAGAAAGGAAGGGCCAATGCTTCTCCATTCAGGACTTCAGGCTCTCTTTAGAGTGTCTACTCTGGTTCTGCTTAGGGTGACCTGCCCCTAGGTTCCATCAGTGCCAAGATGGAGCAGCAGCTGTGGCCCCACATCCTCTCAGGTTTCCTGATGGGGAGCAAGTCTACTCCACCTGTCCTGGGCCAGTGCCCATCCTAACCCATCACTGGGGCTTACCAGGTCCAGGGATTTACCCTTTGGGCAGAGTCAACCTCACTAAGAGCCAAGGGGCTAAGAATAGGGGAAAGGGGGATGTTTGGGGGGTGCTACCCATTTGGGACAGTTTTTCATAGGAAGTTCTTCCTGTATCAAGCTTACCCTGGCCTTCATGGAGCTTTCCTTTTCTTCTTGGATCTGCCCTCATAGATGTGGCCCTCTATGCCCCAGGGTAGTTTATGGGTTCCTACTGGGAGCCCTGGCCTTCCTGGGCCTCTTCTTGGAGCAGAACACCCCCTGTCCCTCCAGCTTCTGCCCAGACCCATCACTGTAGCCAGGATAGTCTGCCCATGTCTTTCTTCAGATGTAGAGTCTGAGACCACCATTCCCCAGAGGAGATCTGCCCAGGAGGCATCGGGGTCCCTCCATCTGGAGCCCTATGAAGCTGCATTCTGATACTCTGAATTGGTGGTACAGAATTTGCAATCTCAGCGAGCCTGTGGTCCATTCTGAACCTCTGCCAGCCAGGCCTCTTCTATCCTATGCCTGTGTGGTCCAGGGTTGTAGTTGGAGGTTGCTTCAAATGATGCCCCTCTGTGATTCATGGAAACTCACCTTTGACATTGGGCTCTGGGCACTTTTCCTTCTAGAAACTGCTTCCTGGGTTGTCTAACACCATTCTTTCTCATTTTTTACCATGTCCCTGGTGGTCCTCTGGCCCTGCACTTGTGCCCGCCTAATTGCTCCAAGGCATTGCAGAGCAGTCTCACTCCTAGGTAAAAACCACACTCTGCACAACAATGAACTTCAGACACAGGTCTTGGGCTCCCTGCTCCATAAATAGCCCCACCAGCCTGGAAGCCTCAGTCAGCAGAGCTGTCTCAACTCCAACCCTTTCCCAGCCCTGGCCCTGGGGTAGGTAGCAGTTCTAAGCCTGTCCACCTTGTTGCCAAGTCCCAAGGAGGGTCTCCTTTGAGCCAGACCCTAACTGCTCCATTGACCCTCACCATAGTCCTTTCTTACTTCCTTCACTCAACTTACCTCACCCATCCACTGAGTGAGAGCACCCCCTCAGGCATGGGGATGTAGCTATGAACTAGACAGACAAGGTCCTGCCCTCAAGGGGTCAGAAAAGACGGCAAACAGGTAATTGCACACAAAGGGAACCAGTAAGTCTTCAGTCAGCAAGCCCAAGCCCTGTCTGGCAGACTAGCTTAGAGGAAGTCCAAGATCAGGACACAGTACCCAAGCCTAGGTGTGCTGCCCTCCATGGTGCTCACCTAAGCCTGGGCAGCTCTGAGCTAGAAGCAGGAGACTGAGGACTGGGAGCAGACACATGGGGTGCCGGGTGCTGGAAATAGGGTGAGGAGCACAGAAGCCCAAGCATCCATTGAGGAAAGGGGCTGACCTCTGACCTGCCCATCCCTGGTGGCCAGTACCCTGGGCCTCCACTCTCTTTGACATGGCCCTTCTCCTTCCATCGCAGGGCAGGTGGGGGTGGGAGCAAGCTCAGGCTTGGGCAAGGACAGCTTGTCCAGCCTGCTTCCCTGCCCACCCCTGCTCCCATCCTCCCAGGAACGGTGCAGCTGCCATGTCACCCTGCAGAGGACTCTGAAGTGGCCACTGGGCCCTCAGAAGGGGATTCTTTATTCCTACTGGTTCCCTGACCAGCTGTCCCAGGGCTCCTCTGAGCCAGCAGGATCATGTATGATTCCTCCCACCCAGAGCAGCCACTGTGGGGGAACAGCTGCACCCTGCTGGCCCTATGGCTTTTACAGCAGTGGAGAGTTTAACACTGCCGTCCCTGAGGGCCAACCCATACCTGAGGCACAAGGCTTCTAAGCAGGGGCCTGGGCTGTGGGTCATCTGAGCTGGAGCTCCAGTCCCTACCCAACTCAGTACCCTTGTGCCAAGCTCCTGGAAGCAACCTGGGCATTTTCATAACAGGCAGTGGGAGCAGATGCAGTCCCTAGCCCTCTGTGGCTCTTTTTTGTGCGCATGCACATACACATGCAAGGGTGTGAGAGCAGAGCCTGCCGCTGGGTGGGGACATGCTGATCCCTCTTTCAGTTCTCTGGCACCCATGCTTCTCATGTGTCCCCTTGCTGGCAGCACCACAGATGTGCACACGGTGGCCTCTCTGTTGAAGCTGTACCTGCGGGAGCTGCCCGAGCCTGTAGTCCCTTTCGCCAGGTATGAGGACTTCCTCAGCTGCGCCCAGCTGCTCACCAAGGACGAGGGGGAGGTTAGTGGCTCCTGGGGAATCATCCTGGGAGGTGGACCTGCTAGGTATAGGGAGGGGGCTGTGGAATCAGCACACAAAACTCTGACTCATTATGTTTTGAGACATGTAGATCCTGACCTGAGGCCTGCTCTGTGTGTGTTGGGGTAGGGGTAGGAGAATCCTGCTATGGGGGCAGGTTTATCTTGCTTTGTTCATGGGGCAGCCTGGAGCATCCTGATCCTAGGGGGTGAGGAGTGTTGGAGGACTCCCTCTGTGCAGGGCCTTCCCTGCATGAGGTTTCAGCCTGGGGGTGCTCAGAGCAGGTGCCTCCTAAAGCAGGCCAAGTTTTGGTCACACCTAGGATACCACCCAGTAGGCACTCCTATTCCACCACCCAATCCTACACTCATGTCAGGCTACCCAGTGCCACAGAGTTTAGAAACAGCCAGACCCTTCATCTATTTATATTCTGCTTCCTTCCAAAAGAATCTGAAACAAGACAGAGGCTCCCACCCCAACCCACAGGTGCTTGGCTAGGAAGGACTGTTTACCTTCCATGTGGCCCTGTGGGAGATGAGGGGTCTTTATCTGGCAAATGTTTGTGTCTCAGTAAGCACTGGCCTTGACATTCCTCTGGCATCCTGCAGAGGCCCATCCCTCACATCAGTCCCCAAAGTAAATCTGCCTCCCCAGGAGGTCAAAGGCCTGGCCCAGCCACTCCTCAGAGGGAGAGGAGTTGGTGGTGCCCTCTGGTCACCAGGGGCCAAGCCAAATGGGCCACTGGAGGTCTGGCCTCTGGTGCGTGCCACCCTCACTCCTGCCCACTTCCTTGTCCTTCCCTCAGAGAGAGAAGGGCCAGTTGCTAGTTTCTGAAATGCTGTTTTTCTCTTTCAATACCAAGGGGACTCTGGAGTTGGCTAAACAAGTGAGCAGCCTTCCCCTGGCCAATTATAACCTGCTCAGATATATCTGCAAGTAAGTGACTGGGGGCAGGGGCCGGGTCATTCTCCCATCCCACACTGCTCCCTGAGTGCCAGTCAGAGAGCCAGCAGGGACTATTAAAGAACACAGTCCCTGTGCAAAACTAGCTTACAGTCCCCTGTGGGAGCAGGCAGTGCTCAAGTCCCTCGTGGATCATTCAGAAGGGAAGAGACATACTTCTGTTCTTTTTGCCTCCTCTTCATGTCTTTCTCAGTCCCCTTACCCAAGAGTCACCTCCTGACATGACTCCCAGCTCAGGTGTTGGGAAAGGGCATGCAGGTTGGCCCTCACCCAGTCCCTGACATCTGCACCACTACAGGTGAGACAGCCATGTGTTTCCTTCCATGCTGATGACAGTACCTTGTGCCATAGGCTTTTGCTTCTGCTGTCCCTCCTGGACCCCAGGGGAGGCTCTGCTCTCTATCAAGCTGGCAGGGGTAGCTGGCTGTGGGAGCATGTGGCTGTGGGCCCCAGGCAGCTCCCCGCAGAGCAGGCATCAGGATTTGCTTCTCCACCAATGGCCTCTTCCTTACTTGGCAGGTTTCTAGATGAAGTTCAGTCCCACTCAAATGTCAACAAGATGAGCGTCCAAAACCTGGCAACCGTTTTTGGACCTAATATACTTCGGCCACAGATAGAAGACCCAGTAACCATCATGGAAGGTGACTGGACGTTTGTATGGCTATGTGGGAGGGCATGTGTGCCCACATGTACCTGTAAGACATCTCTAGACCCTGTCCCAGAGCCCTTTGCCCCTGAGAACATGGGTAGTCAGGTATAGACATTATTGGTAGCACAGGGTTGTGAGATATGGGGACTCAGCCGAGAGGGCTCTGACACCCAGGAGCTGGTTTCCAGTCCCAGCCTGCCACTTGCTCATTTTACAGCCTTAATGGGCATTGTGCCTGCTTTCTCCTCTGTACCTAGCTGCTGTAGTAGGCTGGGAAGCACAGCGCCTCCTCTGTTTCAGGAGCTGCATTTGTCCGAGGAAGGCAATCCTTGGGCAGTATCCCTCTGTCTGTGCTTGGCTTTGGAGGGTATAATGGTCATCCTTTCCTTCAGGGTAGCTGATGGCAAGCTCTTGTAGAGAGTTCTCTCTTGAGGGGCAACCTGGTTCTGGGCTGGGGGCAGAGCCTGGCACCCTGGGTCCAAGCTGCAGCGCCCCCTGACAGATATGATTGGAGAGACATTCACAGCCAGGCCTTTCTCGATTTGGCTTCTTGGCAGGCACTTCCCTTGTCCAGCACCTGATGACTGTCTTGATCCGCAAACACAGCCAGCTCTTCACTGCAAGGACCACTGAAGGGCCAGCCTCCCCCCATGGGAGCCCACCTTGCACAGTGGGGTGGGGCTCCGAGGAGGTCATAAGGGACAGCCAGGGAGAGCCCAGGAGCCCCAGCGCCCCTGGCTTATCCTCATATAGGACCTCATCTCTGGATGGGGCCACTGTGGCTGCACTGTCTAGAAACTCTCCCCTGGGCCCAGGTAGCCACTCTGGCCTGACCACCGGCAGTCCTGGGAAGAGGATGCAGACTCTGCCTAGTTGGAAGTTTTCCTTTCGGCAGTCAGGGTCCCGGTCAGGGAGCCCAAAAGGAGGCAGCTCATCCCTGGAGGTGCCCATAATCTCCTCTGGCAGGAACTGGTTCATGAATGGGTTGTCCTCCTTGCGTGGCCACCACGGGGCTTCCTCAGGAGACAGGCTCAAGGACTCGAGCACCTCACAGAGACTCTCCACCTATGACAACGTGCCAGCAGCCAGCCTCTTCCCCAGCACTCCCAGCATGTCCAGCTCAGCGTGGTCGGGCTCCTCCTCCTTTGAGGCCTTTGCTGGGGGCTCCATCAGCAGCTGCACAGCCTGCCGGGCCAGCGACTCCTCTGCCTGCAGCTCCCTGCTCACCAAGGGGGCCTCAGAACCCTCCCCCTTCCCCAGCAGCAGTGAGGAACACAGATCCCCAGACCTGGGCCGCAGCCTGGATGAGGTGGGCCTCTGTCCCAGCAGCAGCGAGCCCAGCGACCCAGGCAGCCTGGCCCAGGACCGTGCCCACTACTCCACGACTCTGCAGGGCCTGGTCACAGAGCTCAGGGCAGAGCTATGCCGACAGAGGACTGAGTACGAGACAAGTGTGAAAAGGTAAAGGGCTGCAGAGGCTGGGCTGACTGAGGCTGTGCCCTGGGCTGGGCAGAGCCATTGTGGGCAGCGCTCACTGGGCACTGGCCCAAGGCAGTCAGCCTCTGGCCTCATAGCTTCTGGCTCTGAAGGAAAGTCTCCTGGAGGCAGGGCTCTGAGCAGTCAGCCCCAAGAAGTCACCTTTTTGGGAGAATGCCATAGGACAGAGTGGGCATGGGGTCCTATGTTTGGGAGAGCTCCATGAATTCCTGCTGAAGGAATGAGTCAGAATCTCAGCCTGGGCTGTTCAGAGCACCTCTGATAGAGGGACTCAGACTAGGGTTCCTGTGTGGCCCGCAGTCAGGTAGGAGGCGCTGGGATATGTTGACAGCAGTTAGGCCTGGCATGGATGAGAACGACTTCTAATCAGAATCTGTTTTCCTCTGAGAAGGGAGCTGGCAGTGCCAAGCCAGGCTCTCCCTCCCACCCTGACCACAGGAGGATGCTTTGAGTCATATTCTGAGCCTTTTGAGCTTGCTCACAGATGGCCTTGTTTGACCCTCCCAGCCTCTTTGTGAGGAGGGTGTTTTCCTAGCTCTTAGAGGCCAGGTTCTCCGGCTAAGGTCGCTGGCAGAAGCTACATTGAACAGCACTGTGCTTCCAACAGCATTTCTGACTCCTTGGTCTGGCTCTCTGACCTGTGGCTCAGTTCCCACCCACTCGCAGGGGTATCAGTGGGTTCTGAGGACATCCTTTCTCTATCAGGGACAGTGGAGGTGGAAGGAATTCCTGCTTCTCATTTTGAGCCTGAGATTTCCTCAGGGAACTGGGATGGTAGCACTTGGCTTTGTCGTTCTTCTGGAAGCCACATCCTGGGCCCCCAGGGAGGGTCAGCATGTGCAGGGGCTGTGTCCTTGGCAAATATATGACAGGAGAAGGGCTTTAAGGACAGAGGTCACAAGGAAGGTCAGGGAGGGTCAGAGCAGGTCACGTCTGAGCCAGGACTTCAAGGCCCAATAGGACTGAGTTGAGCAAGAAGGAGAAAGGACACACCATGAGAAAACCTTGAGGTATACAGTTGTGTGGAGTCCCTAAAAATGTAAGCCTGGGTTTACCAGGCAGAGGTGACTGGAAGCAGTGATGGGGACAGAGGAAGTGATTAACTGCTGGGGACAGACAAGCACAAAGATGAAAGCTGTGGATTTCAGGTCAGTTTACCACAGACAGCCTCACAGGAGGTCAGAATCAGCTTGTCACCTGAGCTGCTAGTTCCTTCCCATACTTAGAGGCTCCATTTCTCAGAGGAAATGCAATGTTGTTTTGTGATGGACTCTAGGTCAGACCATCAGGTATGGACAGAGTGTCCCAGACAGGCTCCCTTCCCCCAGTGGGTCTTGACTGTGTGTCCACCCAGGCAGGCTCTGTGAGCTCAGGGACCTCACACATTTGTTTTGAAGACTGACGTGATGGGGGAGTGCTCAGCACAGTGCTGGCTACGTCCAGAGTGCTCCGGAAACACTGATCTTATTGCCTCCTGCTTGATGGGTTGGAGGTGAGATAAGGCCCTCAGAGGCAAAGGGCCAGCAATGACAGCTCCTATAGTGGCAAAGCAGTCCTATCCATTGTCCTGCTTGGAGGGAAGTGGTCAAAAATGAAAAGGTCTCTGAGCATAGGAAGGAGCAGGGCCCCTTCCAGTTGGCCTTTGGGGTAATATATCTTGTTTATTCTGTACCTATGGAGTCAGTATTGGGTCTGGTCTGGGTGGGCAGGCAGATCAGCTCTTCCCCTGTCCCTCCTGTGCTAGATGCTGAGAACAGAGCTATGAACAACACTGATCAACATCTCTGTCCTTATGTGGTTGTGGGGGCATGGAGAGACTATACAAAAAACTTTAAAATCTGTGTGGTCTGTTAGAAGGTTAGAGGATGAGAATGAAACAGGGTGGAGGGAAGGGGAGTGTGGGAGAGAGGGTTGGAGTCGAGTCTGTGCTGCAGGCAGAGGGAAGAGAAGGCAGGTGGGGTGCAGTGTGAGAAAGAGGGCTGACAGGAAGCAGAGGGCAGGACCTTTGGTCAGATCATGCTCTGGATTTTACTCCCAATAGACTAAGTGACTGGAGGGACTTGAGCACTTTGATCACTTTGACAGGTACATCTGGCTGCTATACTGAGGACAGCATGACCAGTTAGGCCACAGGGTCTAGGTCTGACTGGGTGACATGGGCCTAAGGCAGTGGTTGAGGTGGGGAGAGGAGCCAGATTCTGAACATATTTGGAAGGTTTTGCTAATTGATCAGCTGTGGGAGTAAGAAAAAGAACTGCCTTAGGGACATTTTTGTTTGGCCAAGCAACTGGAAGGTGTTCACTGGGGCTGGGGAAAAGTGCTTGGAAGAAGGGTCAGGGGCTCAGCTGTGGACCTGTGAAGCTGGAGATGCTTATTTCATTTCTGAGCAGAGTTGAGGATCATTAGCATATAGATAGATGGTGCTTCAGGTCTGGAGACTGGACCAGGGCCCGAAGCTTGAGTGCAACAGTGGGTGGGAGGAATTGGCAGAGAGGGCCCTGGGACTCGAGGAATAACAGTGAGGCGCCATGGGGTTGCTGCTACCTGCCTTGGGGGCCTTATTTCTGACAGCATGTCCTGTGCTCCCCAGGTGGAAGGCTGGGGTGGAGGGAGTTTTTCTCCCTTCTCTGAGCTTGGTGTTCAGTGATTGAGGTGGAGGCTAGGCCTTGTCCTGTCTGGGCCTGGGAGTTGACATTTGCTCCTCATACACTGGGTGCCAGGCATTGTGTTGTATACATGTGGTGTTTTGTCCATTGTAGCTGTAGTGCTTGGGGGAGGCTGTTTCTGCATTTTTCAGGACCCCGGGGCTCAGGGAAGTTTGTGTCTTGCCCACAGTCATATGCCTTGTAAGTAGCCAAGCCAGTTCCCAAGGTCCGGGCTCAGTGTATCCCTCAGGCCAGACAGGAGCTGGTTGTCTGGTTGGAAAGACAAATGTACCAACCTTTGTACAGTGTCAGCCTCTATAAAAATGGTGTCACTCTGGTAGCACAAAGGAGCAATAATGTGACCTGCTGGGGAGGATTCAGAGAAGCTTCACAGAGGGCACACTGAGCTTGGACTCAAAGGACTAGCAGGAATGGAAATGACAGCTGATGGGGTTTCCTGTGAGTTGCTGTGTGTGGCTGAGGAATGAGGCAGTGGGAGGGAGCAGAGTAGAGGCAAGTCCCAGAGGGGACTGGTCCTGCTGTCTGCAGTCCATCCTCCACAGGATGGTCGGCTGGCCCACAGGGTAAAGTGGTCTTCATATTTTAGTGAGGACTCAGGGATGGAGGGCAAGTGCTCACACTGGTATTTCTGATCACCAGCTATGGGCGGGTCTTCCAGAGGTGAAGTGCCAGGGTCTGTGAGGTGGGGAGGAGGAGGCCTGTACAGCTTCTCTGGAGCTGGGCCTGTGCTTCACATGGCCACCCCTCCAGGCCCAGCCTGAGAGGCTCTTACCCCATCAACTCTCTCTCGGCAAACCCAGCAAGCCAGTCTAAAACAGGGTCTTTCTTCTTGATTTTTAAGACTTGAAGGAGGTACTGCCAACCTGCGGAAACAAATGTTGCAGCTAGAGGAAGAACTGGACCAGGAAAAGAAAAGGTACACCATGCTGGAAATCAAGCTGAGGAACTCAGAGCGGGCACGGGAAGATGCGGAGAGGAGGAACCGGCTGCTGCAGCAGGAGATGGAGGAGTTTTTTTCAACCCTGGGGAGCCTAACTGTTGGGGCAAAAGGTGCCAGAACCCCAAAGTAAAAGAGTTTGTTTCTGCTGTGCTTCTCGCCCTCCTCTCAGCAGAGTCCTGGCCTGGACTGTAAGGAGCCCGAGGCCCCTGCAGTGTGGACCCTGCCTCAGTGCCTGAGCTCGCTGGAGAGAGGAATCCTGACATCTGGGCAGGGGATGGCTGGAAGCCTGGGCCCCTCATGGGATCTGGATGCTGCTGCTAGGGCCCTGCAGGGCCTAGCAGGTGTCAGAGGGGATAGTCCCTTGGCCACCAAAAGAGATAGCACTGGAATTCAAGTAGCCCACCCAGGAACATTTTGCATTCTTTATTAAATTTTCTCTAAAAGCATGATACTTGTCTCCTTCTTTATGGTCTGCAAAATGGCAATTACCAAGTGACCTCTACTGTTTCTATCAGGGTTGGGAGTCCCCAGAGTGTTCCATGGCTGGAATGCCAGAGTGGGGTGTGAAGCTCCCTGAAGAGTACCCAGAATTGTCGACTGGATTTATGCAAATCCATGTGCTTTGAGCTCCATTATCTGTGTGCTCAAGGCAGGATGGCTTTCCTCTCCTCCCTCCCCACTCTGAGCCGCCTGCGCCTCCACAGTTGGTGTCTGTCCTGGAATTGCTCTCAAGCCTTGCACCAGAACCTGCTTTCCTTTGCTTGGCTCCAGCTCTGCTCTGGGACCAGGGCCTGGGCAGGGTGACAAGGCACATGTCTGAAGAAGAAGTGAACCAAGGTGCTGGGAAATGCCCTTTTTCTGCCCTCCAGGTGCCCATGCCTCAGGCCGTGCCCATCTCTCCTGCAGACTCCTCTCCTGTTAGTGCCAATGCTTCTTCAATGCCCATTCACTTCCCCCCATCCTTCACTCAACGCTCCAATTAGGGCAAATCCTTCAAGAGAGCCTTTCTCTAGCCATTACCACACACAGCCTAAGCCTAGGCCAGAGCTCCTTGGCATGGGCCACAGGGAGCACCAAAGAAACCACCTCCATGAGGAGGAGATTGGTCTCTAGGGCACTGGTGATACCAGCACCAAGGTCCCTTCATCTGTTCCTGTTCAATGTCCTTACATAGTACCTCTCATTACCGGAAGCAGTAACCTGCAATGGTGTTTTTTAGGGTGGAATGGCTAGGGGGCCACCAAAGTGCCCCAATTTCTGCCCACTCTATCTGGGGGTCATTATACCACTCATCTTCCCAGAACCAGGTATGAACTATTGCACCAGTGCTTGGATGCCAGGGTCTCAGTGCTCCCAGGCAGTGCTGGCCTCTGCAGTAGGAGCTCTGAGTTAGGGGGCCAGAGGGGAGCAAGACTTAGTCTGCCTTCAGGCCCACTGCCATCACAGCACGCAGCCTGTGTAACCAGATTTCCCAGAAGGTGATATAATTGTCTTCCCTTTATTTCAAGGAGAAAGAAAGAATATGAGGTGACTTTGATTGCTTACAACCACTCAGTAGGGTAGGAATTGGCCTGCACTCCCCATTCAGAGGAGAAAAACTGAAACTAGTGGGAGGTAAGTGAAAACACAGATGTATTCTTAGGGTCCTGAGTTCCATAGTCTTGGAATTCTGCCAACTTTGACCTGGCCATAAAATGCCACCAGGCTATCAAAGGGACAGAAAAGACCAAAGGGGTATCACATAATGGAAAGGGCATTTGTCTGTCCTTTCTTAGCCACTAATATTGGCAAAGGCTGAGTGTCCAGCCAAGACCTTTGTCAAAACCTGCTCATGAGCCTGCTGACAAAACTAGGACCTGCAAATGCATTTTTTTTTCACAGAAAATAAATTAGCAATGTTCAGTAGAAGTTCTGTCCTCCAATTCCCACTTACCCAGCACCCCCTCCATTCTGTCTATAACACATGCTGACTTTTGCTCGTGAAGCTCAGGGACTGACAGGCTCTGTCTGTCCCCTATCCCCTTCCACTTTGGTTCTCCCCAAGTGACACTGACAGATGCTGTTCCCCAGCCTTTGGATTCAAGCTATAATCCTTTGTCAAATCACAAATTGACATCATTGAATATTAAGTAAAGCAGTGAAGTATGAATGTGAAAAGACAAGGAATTAATTTCTTGAAAAATCTACCTGAATGTTTTAGAAAGACTCAGTAAAGTCAAGTTGCTAAAAGAAAGTTGTCACATTAAGTATGGATGAATTGAACATGCAGTAGTAGAAAATTAGTGAAAATGTAGAACTCTGCTCCAAAACTACTGCAAAATGTGTTTACAGAAAAAACTGGAGATTTTAACTCTCATACAGAAAAACAGGAGTTGCCTGGTATTAAAAGACTGGCAAGTGATGTGCATTTTAGAATACAGTTTGTGTGTGTGTGTGTGTGTGAGAGAGAGAGAGAGAGAGAGAGAGAGAGAGAGAGAGAGAGGCAGAGATGGCTGTTGAATAATGAATCAGGCATGAACCATGTTCCCTTCACATTGTAAAAGGACTTTGGAATGAAGTCCATATATCCATGCGCTCTGGCCTGTAGGAAACAAGTGGAGTCAGTAATAATTACATTTGGTGGCCTTAAATATTGCATATCAGAGGATAAAATGGTGTAGAAGATAGGTCCTGGCCATTAGTTTACCAATCCAAGACTTCCTGAATGCCAGCTTCAGCTTCCCAGGTGCTAACTGAGTAACACAGGTTCTTCACTCCAGGGAATGCCAGAGGTAAGCGCCAGCAGAAGCTGAGCACACAGGACACACTTGCAGACAACATGAAGAGGCCTCCAGCACACTGATGTTTTATACCCTCTGTGAGACAGGTGGGGAGAGTGAACAAGCATGAGATGGGCATGTGGAAGAGAAAGGCATTGCAGAGGGAGGAGGAATTCCTTGAGCTGGACGTAAGCAATGAGGATCTTAAATAGGCAAGTGCAGAGCAAGTAAGCAAAGCATCCAGCTGGAATGGGCTAGACAGCAGGAATGAGATGAAATTGACCCTAAACAAAATTTGATATTGACTTTGAGGAATTTCTCTCCAATGAGGAATCATTCTCATCAACCATGTGAAGATTGGGATTACAGGCCATGGTGATGGTGACTTGGGAGTCAGAGTGTATGGAAGTTCTGTGATGTGACACTACAGAGAGCTCCTCCCATTCCTGTCAACATTGCTCCATCTCTTAAAACGCTTCTTCTTCTTTCCAAAGCTAAAGCCAACAATTATACTTGCTTTACATGGGTTATTTCAATAAAATACATAAAGTCAGCTTTATAAAGTACATGAAGTCAATCATTACAGTAGTCCTGTGAGACTCTCCAATCACATGAAAGATGAAGCAACATACACTCCTCAAAGTTAACCCTTGTCCAAGATTATTCAAACTCTGCATCTTGAGCTCACGCTGACCTAGACCCACAGGATTCAGCAGATCCCACCCTCTCCAGGACCTTGTCTTGTCAAGGCTTTTAGTTCTTCTCCCTCTTTTTTCTCAAGATATTGTCATGATCCTTTACATTTCCTGCTAAAGTTTCAAAAAGACTTTTTACTACTGCTTTACCGTTGACTCAATCCTTAGCAATCCCAGCTATGCCCCCACCTGTCCAGGTAGTTCTAAGTCGTACTCATATTACACCCAGCAGGAATCCCCTTGTCTCTCTCCTCTGTCCACAAAATGACAGAAGGGAAATGGTACAAGTGCTGTATCAGGAGAGGAGGCAGACCTCATGAGGGAAGAGACTACAATAGTCTGCTGGGTTAGGGAGCAATTATTCCTTTCTTTTCACTTTCTTCCCATGTCTGAAACATACCCAATGTGTGTTGTCATAGACTCCAGACTGGGGTGTACCAGCTGGAAAGTACATTGGATGTATTTTCCCTGCACATCTGCAGCCCTATCACAAGGACTTGAAACCTTCCCTCAAATAGCTGAAGTGCTTATTAAATGGGATAGCAACTAAATAAATAATTAAATAACCTCCCCTCTGCCCCAAATGCTAGTTTTGGTGATTTTGCTTAGTAATGCCAACACTAGTAACGTCTTTTCCATTCTCATTACACAAAAAAGACCACAATTCTCTCATCTGAGTCTCTGTGGCTTCCCAGTCACCAATTTCCACACCTCCAATCTAATGAAACTAGCTTCCACTGCCAGTGACCTTGCTAAAACAAAAGTGTGGTCATATTACTCCTCTCTCACAACTGCAAGTTCCTACTGCCTTTAAAATGAAGACTTTTCATCCAAAATGTTTCAATTCTGATCCTGAAATTTCAGTCTTATTGCTCATTCTATTCTCTCTTTATATTCTCATGCTCACACCAGGCCATTCCTCACTCCTTGCCCATTCATTTAATTTTAAATTTTATTTTCTCTATTATCATTGAACCCTCTTATAATCCCCACTTCCTTGCAATGACCACACTGTTGTCCATGTCAACGAGTCATTTTTCCTTTTTGCTCAATCCCTCTATCCCCTAACCTTTCCCCCTCCAGTAGCTGTCATCCTTCTCTCCATCTATCAGTCTGTCTCTATTTTATTAGTTCAGTTTGTTCATTAGATTTCACATGTAAGTGAAATAATATGGTATTTTTCTTTCTCTGATTGGCTTATTTCACTTAGCATGTTCTCCATGTCCATCCATGCTGTCCCAAAGGGTAAAATTTTCTTCTTTTTTTTATGGCTGAGTAGTATTGTGTAAAAGTCCCATAGTTGTTTTATCTGCTCATCTGATGGACACTTGGGTTGCTTTCATATCCTGGTGATTATAAATAATGCTGCAATGGACATAGGGGTGCATAAATTCTTTCAAATTGGTGTTTCAGGATTCTTGGGATACCCTGCCATAAGTGGAATCACTGGGTCAAAAGAGAGTATCATTTTTAATTTTTTGAGGAAACTCTGTACTGTTTTCCACAGTGGCTGCACCAGTCTACATTCCCACCAACAGTATGTGGCTCCCTTTTCTCCACATCCTTGCCATGCTGTCTGTTAATTTATTGATGGTAGCCATTCGGACAGGTGTGATGCAAGCAGTGTCCACGGCATTGTGGCTGAGGCGAGACAAATTCACATGAACTACCAAGTCCTGTGGAGGAAAAGGGATAGCATGGCCACTCTCTCAAGGGGAGAGCACACTGACCCTTGCCTTGACAAGCTTTTTTTTTTGGCTTAATTTGTGTAGGAATACAGGGAGTATATGCAAAGCTCATCAAGCATTGTCAGGCAGTAATAATCAAATAGATAACATTCAAAGAACTCTGAGGGCTTATTTTGAGTCAGGGTCAGATACCTAAAGGGCCATACAACTTTGGGGAAACAAACTCATTTCAGGCTTGGACCCTTATCATTTAAATTGAGAGTATTAGCAAAGCAAGTTTCACAGGATTTTATGCATTCTTTCT